TGACATACAGCGTAATGGTATTAAAAAAGAGATGCTTTCGTCTTGAAACACTTCAAGGTCACCTTGATATCTCAAAAAAAAAATTAGATATAAAAAGAAGCAAATTGTATCCATCCAATGCCTCCCTTAAAATGCTACATAATTCATTAAAACGTTTTTTGATACGAGTTATTTTAGATAGTAGTTTTTATTATTTAGTAGTTTCAATAATTAGTTTTCGTTATTCTCTTTTATTGATATGTGAAGGTCACCTTGAGTATTTTTAATCGTAATGTGTAAAGTTTGATCGCGCAATTGGAAAGAGTATTGAACTCTGAGTGAAAAACTGTTGAGATATATGGATCCAAAAACTAATAATTACTGAGATATTCCTCAGTGAACGATAAAATCCGTACACTTACGAGCCGTAAGTTACGACCGTTCTTCGGACTTGACGCCACTTGACTACTTTCTTCCAAGACATATAAAAAACGAAGTTAATCGTGCGCTACCAACCATATCTGAAGATACGAAAAATCGCATCAGTAGATCATGTAGTGCTATAACTCAAGAAACACTTGAACATGTGTCATTTGCTCTTATTGAACGACTACACACTTGTGTTGATTCATTGATTGTAATGGACAACATTTTGAGCATTACTTACATTAAAAATCATTTAAAGAATATCTCGATAATTACTGGTTTTGGACCCATATATCTTAATAGTTTCTTATTCAATAGTCAAACATTAAACGTTACAATGAAAAAATTCAAGGTGACCGTCATATCTCAATAAAAAAGCATAATAACAAAATATTACTTATTACATTGTGTGCTTCCGTTGTTTCAAACATTGTTTCATATTTTATATAACAGACAGTTAAAGTGTTAGGCGAATCACCCTGTATATGTGAAAAATATATTTAACGGCTCGTCGATCCGTTCGATTGGGTTGGAATAAACAGAGAATATGCGAGAAAGAGAGGGAAAGTAGGATCGCTGGCGGTTTTATTGAATTTTCTGCTATAACGGTCATCGAAATCATTACCAGGGGGGGGGGGGGTTTGGTCGATATTCGATTTAACACGATCGTACAAGCCACCAAAGGCCGTGTTCGTATTAGTTACCATTATCGAAATGACCAGCTAGGATGACAGCCATTAAAACCATGAACCAGCTGCTTCCCTTTCGTTCGGCTCCCCCATGGCAGAAGACCCTGCGGTGCATCACGCATTATAATTAACCGTGTATATGTTGGAGCCACCCCCATGCTAGCACCGCGCCGCTGATAAGTAAATGCTCAGACACGCGTCTGTACACGGTGTACCCGTAAAAATCAACTCGTTACTTCCGTATCTCTTGTTTCTTTTCCTTTGTCGCCTTCGAAACTGACTTGCCTATATTTTTTACGTACAGAAAATATACACTACTGGCTGAAAGTTTGGGATCACTACGTGAATTAAGTAGTATTGTATAAAGAAAAAAAAAACGACGTGTTTAAAGTGTAAAATGTATTTTGTACCATTTTTTGCAAGGGAATAGATATTTTCTTCTAATTATAAGAGCGTCATCCTGACCTCTAAACAGTTACTCGGATTAAATAATTGTTCGTAAAGTGTCTACTTATCGAAGAAAAATTATTATTCTATTATCAAAACTGGAAGTTCCACGTTAAGTAAGTAAAAAAAATGGCGATGTAGATTTGTATTTTTTATTCGTAATTCTTTATCTATAAATGAAGAATTTGTTCATTTCTGGTTTCGATCAGATCTTGTAATTCTGAACTCTCGTTGGATAAACAAAAAGTCGCGTATTTCTGTATAACGAAAAGAGAATGTCTTTTCAACCAGTAGGAAAGGTCAAGCACAGCCTTAAGTTCGGAATATAACTTATGTAAGAGTACTTTCGTTATAAGAAAATGCTAAAAATCTCTTAAATAAAATACTACGTTCCTATTAATATCTGGTATATTAGCGATGATTCAATACCAAGCTTATGAGGTCATTCGATTTTGACAGAAATTAACAAGTGATTCGAAACTTTTGATCACTAGTGTATCTTTAAAAATGTCCAGACATTGAGGATGGACCACTTTTTTTTGTTAATGGTTGTAACACTTTTATTTCATTATACTTCATGAATCATCAATTTTAGTAAATTTTTTAATTTGTTTTTTTATGTTTGAGTTTTTAGAAACGGTAGAAGTTGTATACAAACGAACGATGCACAATCCATTGTTGTTTTGATGTCATAAAATGGGAAAGTAATGGACGCTTGCAGTTACGGTTCTTTCAGTCCACCCTGTAGCCTACCCCACACGTGTACGACAGACCACCATGGCTTCGTCCAGGTGGATATTACAAAATGTTCGTTACAAAGTGGAGCTCATATACCTCAGCTGGCTAATTTTCGACGAGCCTTCCCCAATGAACCACAGATTTTGGCGTCACTGTAGAATCAACCGAATAACTGTCTACTGACTCAATCATTATCTTTACTACAAAAGTATAATTATACATTTTTACTAACTTTATGCGCTTTAGAATATTCTGCAATCTATTTTTTTTCCTCACATTTGAATCGTTGTCGTGTAAGTGATTTTAGTACTAGAATGATTGCAATTTTTATCGATGTATACGTACCTGCACTCATTTCTTTTGACTTATTACAGGGTGTTTAAAAAATGGGTCCAAGACTTTAGAGATTTACGGCACTCACCGATTAGAGAAAAAAATGTCTAGTCAAAAAAGTCTAGTCATATTAAGCTTCCATGGTTAATTCGTAAAATTATTCAATATTTCAAGAACAAAAATAATTAAATTGCAGTAGAACTGTTTCAGTCCAACCAGTTTTTGTGATCCTAAGTCGCAGATGGCACTCGAATAGCACGGTCACTGAATAAAAGAAATGAACATACGTAGATGCGTATCTATGTGTATATACACAGGCGCATATAAGCCTATCTATGTAGTATACACAGATACACATTAAACTACTGAATTTTATCATCAAAATTGTACGAATCCTCTCTCGAATAACATGAAACCAATTAATCGTATTATTATAGCTTTACCTGCATTTAACTCCTTCGGTACATTTGAAGACCGAGACTCGTCATACACTTGTTTTTGCCTAAGTGCAAGATTTCGAGTCTACTTCGTCATTCGAGTCGAGACAATATTTACCATGTACATCCTTTTTCATTTCAGTTCGTGTTCTTTCAAAATTTGTTTTACTATTCTAATTACCTGAAATCATTTCAATACTATGTATATTACTGATCTTTTTTAGAAATAAATGAATTTTTACATAACATCGACTGCTTTTACGTACTACTCCAAGCACGAAAAAATTAAATCTGTTCTATATATAAAATTTTTTAAAATAAATTGACACCCAAAGAGTTAAGGTGACTCGAACGACTATTTCCAGATGCAAAATTTAAAAACAATAGTAATATTTAACACCTTGCAGTCAATTCTTATATCATTAACATACTTTATAAGATAGCTCGAATGATCAAAAGGGAGGAACATGACAGAATACACACACAAGATCCATATGAAAGCACGATCGTTTATTTCGCTTAAACAACTAAATGACTAGAGTTTCTTTTTCCGTAATCCTAAGTTTTTAGCCAGATTTACAGTAGGACATTTCCCCAGCGCGTCTCGACCGCGCGCGAGACCCAAAAAGGAGCGCGGGACACATTTTTGTTTCATCGTCGTATCTCGATTATATTCTTTGGAGGCGCTGCATTTGTTGCTCCGTCGTGGAACCAACCGATTCAGGCTTACGACGGGGTTCACCGATGTTCATTCGGTTCTACGTCGCGAACAAGTATCCTCACGAGAAAACTAAATTTCCGCTAAGGGAAAAAGTAACGTAGAACGATTTTATACCACTTGATAAATTTATTTCAAGTACTGAAATAAATATTAAAATGCATGTTAATTTGTTATAATTTCAGAAACTTCCGAAACCAAATGATAGAAGTCCCTTTCCCGATGCCACTTTTTTTCCTAGCTAGGGGCAAAAGTGGTGTAAGAGAAAGGCCTCCTAGAAATTGTAAAATTTATTTCAAGTACTGAAATAAATGTTAAAAGGCATATTAATTTGTCATAAATTTCAAAAATTTCCGAAACCAAATGATAACAGCAGGCACGTGATAAATTTATTTCAAGTACTGAAGTAAATGTTAATTTGAATGTTAAATTGGCATAAATTTCAATAATTCCCGATATCAAGTGGTAGAAAGCCTTTTCACCACGACACTTTTTCCTCTAGCGGAAGTCTCGTTTTCAGATCAGAGTACATACAATATACACGCCATTGGAATCATCCTTAAACAACAACCTTGAAGTTTCGACCGCGACGAAAGGATTTTCTGTCTCGTCGAGGTCGTAAAACGTTCCTCTGCTCCGTTCCGTCTCCTCGTGCCATTCGTATACCGTGACCTTAATAAATGAACCTCGTAACTCCACTTTTGGGCTAACTTTGCGTTTCAGTGTCACCGAAAGCACTCAAAATAAATACATTTTAATAATTCCGCAACTCCTGTATATTAAATAAAGTGAGAACAAACTTTTTTCTGTAATTGTTCAAATTAAACTTCAAAAAAAAAAAAAACTGTTTTCTATAAATGTTCAATTAATTCTAAACTGTTTTATTGCTCTCCTGTAAAGTTCCGTTAAATGGAGTCCCGAGTTTTACTTATTAAGGTCACGACATGGCGTTGATTGCTGTTCGTGGATCGCGACAGTGAGCCCCGTCCCAAAACCTCCATAAATCACGGGTGACGCACAGTATTTACAGGAATAATATAGTTAACAATTCGCAATTAACGTTAACGAGGGACGGTCGGTTTCGCCGTGGTCGAACCCCCTCCAGTTCGACCCAGAGGGGACAACGACTGGCCGACTTATCACGGAAGAACGTCGACGCAATAAATACACAGATGCCGAAGTGACACGGTCAGTCAGTAAGAAAATGATCTCCTCCCTCCTATCTGCTTCCCCTCAATTCTGGGCAGTTTTTTTCGACGACTTGACGATCGTCTTGGCCGTTTTCGTGGCATCCGTCTGCTGCTTTCCAGTATCCAGCGACGATCCAAGGGGCTTTTTATTCACCTCGCACACTTTTCGGGCTCGCCAGTAATCTGCAACAAGAAAACGGGCCAGGTTTCAGATTAGTATGCACATTCGTTGGTTAATTAGAATTTAAACGGCGACTCTTGTACCGCTCGACGCATTGCAATTAAAAATGTCAAGTGTATATATGTGTTTTGTCCTTTGGTATAGTTGCCAGTGGAAAAAGATAAGACAAACAGAGGGATTTTCTTCGATGGAATCGAGGAAAGGTCAGATATAGAAATTGTATACAAGGGAAAACCGTTGCGAAGTATCATTGTTCCGAAAAGAAACATAAAGACGTAGTACGGTTTCGTGGGGTTTCCAAGGTGGGACACACTTGCGTATATACACATTGTATGGTCGTAGGGGCTGATTGGTACGACGCAGTTTAACCTGTATGGGGTGAAGCGGGCGCACCACCATCACCACGCGAGACGAAACACGAATGATTTCCACAACAAAAGCCCGCGGAACGAACAAAACCGTCCTCTTTGCGGACACCCTATTTCTCGATCAGGTAGCCACCTGAGCGCCCTTGCTGGCTTTTTTCCTTTTTACTCGATCCTCTCTCTTTCTCTCTCTCTCTCTCTCTCTCTCTTCTCTATCCCTGTCTCCTTTCTCTTGGACCGGCAGGTGCGATTCCCCGGCGTTAATGGTATCACGCTGGCAACTTCTTGTTTACATTGTTCACGGGATTCTTGCGACGAGATTGAAAGTAGCGATCGAAGGATCGAGGAAACGAGCATATATATCCCAGAGTAGGGCAGGGAATTGCTTTATTTAGGACTTATACAGTAAATCGTCGATGAGTGTTCGAAGGCTCCTCGGCACTGAACATTAAATATTTCATAAACTAATGGCCATACACCGGTGAAATAAATATTATTGGGTTCGGAATTTCAAGCTCTACCACTGTGCTAAACGTCGTTAACACTTTACTGCCTGGTAGCCTATTAGTGGACTTTCGAGTTTCAGTGGTTATAGATAAGAAGCTTATTAATTTACCCTTAGATCAGGGTTAAGAAAGAAATTGTTACGTTATTCTAGTAGAGTTCTTGTTATTTTTCATGAATGTGATTTGTTACTAAACTTATCAAACAGCAGCTGGTAGGTAATATGTTAAAAAATTAACGTTCATAGATATGTTCATAGGCGAACCTAACATCGAAGCCTGTATTTGTATTTATCTTTTCCTCGAAGTTTGTAATTTGTACACTTAATTGTAAAATATGATGTATTTGTAATTCTATACTTATAAAGCTAAATAAACCAATAATGGTTCGAGGAGCTTAATAAATTTAAAAAAGTCAATATTACACCAGGGGATCCCTTCTTGTCAGTGCCGAGTAGCCTTCGAATACTCATCGATGATTTACTGTATTTCGATTTGTAAATCAACGAATGATATAAGATGACAAGTGTCTGAGATTTAAACAAGCCCAAGACGTAGAAGCGGTCAAGCCAACGGCCATATGTCGAGGACACGTTGATCCCTTCTCTCTCTTTGGTCCTCCCTGTTCGCCATATGGCGCGCGAAACCGAGCTTTCTTAACTAACCGGCCTCTGGTTTCTTCGCTGGCTTGAATTCCGCCGTGGATATTTCATTTGTCAACATCTGTTTGCTTCGCCTAGACCACAAAAATATATAGGATCCTAGAGAACGTTGCGTCTCGGAGGGATCTTGGCGTTCCTACCTGTCCATATGCCTCCGTAGCTAGATTCAGGCACAAAGATCGAGATCACCTTTGTCCATGAAAGGATCGTGGGGCCTCCTCCCTCGTTTCTCGAGCGTTTTTCAATCAAAACCCGGGGATTTCCACCCGAGGAGCCGGTGAAAGGAGGTCAGTTTCGGTTCGATTCTTTAGAGAACACACGCGAAGAACCCCTCGCCCTCCTTCCTTCGCTCTATTTCAAACACCCCAAGTTTCCCAAGAAGGATCTAGAATTTTTCAAGATTCCCGAAGCGTAGAAAAACGATCAGACTTTCTATTTACGTTTTCTTTCGATTCCTCGCCGTGACAAAGACTGGAAACTATTTGGATGAAAAGACGACCTGGTGTTTTTTTTTTTTTAAATTACGACACGCCACACAGTGATCCAGAATCGAAATTCAGCAGCTCGTATGATTGTTTAGCTCGAACAATTAAAAATTGTGGAACTTAGAATTTTATATAGAATTAGATATATGTACAAATTTTTAACGATTTCAGGGATCCTTTTCGAGGACGGCGTCATTAGCCAATAGTGTTTCTCAACATCTTCATGAAAGTCTGAATTTTTTCTTTTCACTGAAATTGATAATACGAAATGGTCTAAGGGAAACAATAATACACGAAACAAATTTATCGTTAATAATAAGTTAAAATGAATTCTTTGGAAGATAAAAGAAATTGTTTTTTATCATTTAAGCTGCTAAATTTCGATTTTGGACCATTTTAGACCATCTGGAGTATCCCTATAATAACGAGCCACTTTTTTGGAGTACATCCATTTACTCTGTTTCCATATGAATCAGTTAAACTATATATACAACCACACCAACAGTGTTTTAGTGTTCTCAACATCTTCATGAAAGTCTGAATTTTTTCTTTTCACTGAAATTGATAATACGAGATGGTCTAAGGGGAACAATAATACCCAAAACAAATCTTCTACAGTTAATAATAAGTTAAAATGAATTCTTTGGAAGATAAAAGAAATTGTTTTTTAAGGTCTAAGCTGCTAAATTTCAATTTTGGACCATTTTGCCCTCCTATCCCTATAATAACGAGCCACATTTTTTGGAGTACATCCATTTACTCTGTTTCCACGTGAATCAGTTAAACTATATATACAACCACACCAACAGTGTTTTAGTGTTCTCAACATCTTCATGAAAGTCTGAATTTTTTCTTTTCACTGAAATTGATAATACGAGATGGTCTAAGGGGAACAATAATACCCAAAACAAATCTTCTACAGTTAATAATAAGTTAAAATGAATTCTTTGGAAGATAAAAGAAATTGTTTTTTATCGTCTAAACGGCTAAATTTCAATTTTGGACCATTTTGTCCTCCTATCCCTATAATAACGAGCCACATTTTTTGGAGTACATCCATTTACTCTGTTTCCACGTGAATCCATAATATTTCCATTTCCCTCAGCAATCAGTTAAACTATAAATACAATCACACCAACAGTATTTTCCACGAGATGTATATGCGGGTAGACACGACGAAGGAGGAACAGGTACATGTAGTTTCGACGATTCAAATAGGTCTATAAATCGCAACGTTGGGAATTATCGAGCGAACCGGGTTCGTATAGGGCTAGAAGGAACCAGCTAGGTGTAAATGCAAATGCGCGTCCATAAGAAAACACCTATCGCGACAGGTGGTGCACGACCTTCGGAAGGTCCCGTTCACGGCTACCATATCGCGTGTTCGCGAACACCGATTTAATCGTGGGAAAAAGGGACACCGATGTCGTCATAGTGTGTGGCGAGGGTTGAACAGGTGTGTTGCTTGGAAAAGGGCTCCGTTGCAGTGTCTCGCTCCGTTGGGCCTTCACGAAACGTTTCTTGCGCCAATAACTCAAGAATCACCCGTAGAGACTCATTATCACGGTGAATCGGACTTCCCTGGAAGATACTTCGGTACATACTTTCGTCTTTTTTGCAGTTAGACGTGATTACAAGTGGCCGCTGTGATTCTTGGCTGAACCCCTTAACGTGGGAAGCCTAAATGCCAAGAAAGTGGTGAAGATTGTTCGAGCTCAGCTGTAACCATCGCGTTAGGGCATGTAAAGTGTCCGTTTTTTCGCTCAAGCTGGAATTTCACGGTAAGATAACGTAACCGAAGAGATACAAAGTGGTTAGGGGGAGACCGTTTAGATAATTGCTCTCTGGTTACACAGAAAATCGGAAGCGTGGGAATTCCTGTTACAACTCTGTAAAACTACAAAGGAGGTGAAATCTTGCGTTCTGAAGGGAACAATGGCGACCATCACGTGCACCCTGTAAGCCGATGAGGTTCGACGTGAAGCTGTACGTGCATCGGAATCGCGAACGGTCACAAGCGAGACTCGCACTTTGGTCGACAGTCTGTGATATCCATTGTGCGGTACGAGAGAGACCGTCGGGATGCATCACTTCGGAGCCACGCAAAGATGTTAGGGAGGAAGGAAGGTATTCAAGGAATGCGATCGCAAGTTCATCTTACTCCTCGAAAAATGGGGCCCTTCGATGAGTCAGAGGACCCTTCAGGTATTTTTCGTCCGCTTTCGAACATGCATGACTCATCCCTTCCCGCGTGATTCATTCGACGAACCGAGGATACTTTCTACTCTTTCTAACCTTTGCGGCCCCGTTGCATATCGACGTGTATCCACGGATACGCGCGTGCTTGTTTAAGGGGTCATGCTCAGTCAGGAGACCGAAAAAAGAGTGTTCTTTGGGAATTTTTTTCTCAAAAACTATAAGACCTTTTTCAAACAGTGTGTTTGTGTTTTACAGATTACAGTTTCTAGATTATAAGGTAATTTTTTTATTTGAAAATATTTTTTAGTAAATAAATGGTGATCGATCTCCCGAATGTCTCTTCACAAAAAGTGGCCTGCTGTGATCACTGTAACTTCGTAAGGGTAAATATTGATTAGGAACAAAATGGCGGACATTTTCCTGAAAAGTGCGATTTTCACCTAAAAATCACTCGTTTTTGGTCAATTAAAAAAAAGTATGGAACGATAAAAAAAATCCTTCCTTCGAGGACAAGTTCTTCTGATTTGAAATAAGGCGCAAAAGGTTTCATGTAAATCGACACAGTAGTTTTCGAGAAATATTGATCTACGATTTGAAAAATGTAGTTTCGAGAAAAACGCGTTTAAAGCTTCAAGTGAACACACTTATATAAAATGTTCATTTTTTAACGCCTCTAACTCTGTCATTTTTAATTGGACTACCTTGCTAGTTGCACAGACTATTCCCGAGATGTTGTACTTAAAGAAAATGTAGAAAAAACTAGTGGGCAAATTTTAAAAGCGTCAACCTGACCTTTGAACAGTTCATAAGACTAAATAATTATTTGCTAAGTGTCTACTTATTCAAATAGAAAGTGTAATTTTGTTATAAAAATTTAAAACAAAAGTTAAGAAAAAAAAGTACATCGAAATCTTTAATTGATTAAACGTGGAAATTCCAATTTCTGTAACAAAATTACATTTCCTCTTGAGTGAGTAGACACATAGCAAAAATTATTAAATCCTAGACTTTAGATAATGAATTTTCTCATTTCTCTACATAGAGATACTCTTATGTCTCCACTGTAAGTACCCGCAAAGCTAATTCCGTCCAGTTTGTCAGTTCAATAGTTACGATTTATTAAACAAAGATTGCCCCTTAATTTCAAACAGCTGTAAAATCAACAATTTTCAAAATTTTCAAAAATCCTTCGAGATGCGTTTGTATATCGCTAAAGACTACAACATTTCCAAATTTGAACAAAATCAGAAATGGTGCTCTAAAAAGTGTTCGATTTCGCGTGGAATGACCCAATTCAAGATGTACAACCACGCCACAAACGTTGCAACTGTCTTCTTTCTGTTTAACTCCGAAACTGGGAGTATGTATCACGTGTGGTATGATCGAAGAACGAGAAAGAAAGAGAATAGAAGCGTCGGATCCCCGTCGATGAGGGCCAAACTACCGTCGGGATTGTAATTTTTGGAAAGCGATAGTGGTCGACAGGGTCCCACGTCCGAAAGTTTCTTCTGGATAGCCCGTGCGCGTAAAACCAGAAGCCTGCTAGAACTAGGTGGGGAGGGTCTGTGAGATTGGAGGGAGTTGAAGGGAAACAGAGAGTGAGTGAGAGAGAGGGGGACAGAGAAGGCGGAAGAGACGCGCGGAGGAGAGCGAGGCTAGACCATGAAAACAGGTCGGAGCCACGCGACCGGCCTGCGCATGCGCCCTCGTACCTTCCCTTTCCCCGCCAAACGCCAGAGCGCTTTCCCGCCAAAAACCTACGATGCTCTTTCCCCCCTTCACCCACCGACGCCATCGCTTATCACATGTATTTATACGCCCGTATATACGCTCGTCTAATTCCGTCCACCGAAATTCCCACGTTAGTCGACAAATGATAATCACACGACAAACATTAATAATTACTTCATCAACAATCTCCGAGGGCTTTGTATCGTCGTTCAAGCGTCGACCAATTATATAACCTCGAAATTTCGAAACGAACCATTTTCACGTGAAATACGTGCGATAAAACGGAGTAGCGTTCGTAGAACACGTTAGCAGAGAATGATTTCCACGAAACTTTGGGAATTCCATCGCAAGCAAGTCGTATACACGGTGGACATAATCACGATGCTGTACGAGAAACCGTATTACGTTCCATTATCTTTTAAGGTTTCGCGCAGAAATTCCGCCGCGTATACGGGACGGCGGATCGGCCAAGCGACGGGCGGACGAACGCCGCGACGTTCCATGGAAACGCTTGTGATTTATGTAATGTACTCACCGTGAATATTGGTCTGTCTGGAATACGGATTGCAACGTTTCTTCGGCGACGGCTCGTGTTTGTCCTGTACGTGCTTCCTCTGGTAATTGTTCTCCTTGTCCTCCGAGCACGGATCGACGCCCCAACGTTTCGCGAATCTGCTCCGTTCCACGTCCAGTGCCTCCTGTAGCATCTCCACCGTTTCACGGGAATTCGGCTTGCCGAACAGGCAACGTGGTACGCGCGATGCCATGGTCGTGCCGGACAACACCGTGAAGTGAACCTCGCGACAGATGGAAGCTGCCAGCATCTCGATTATTTCCTCTAATCGACGAGTATGAACGTGTGTGTGTGTGCAACGTGGAAAACAACGGGGTTCGAGTCACGCGTATATATACACGATTAGTCCCCTTTTTGTTGCGACGATGAACTTTCCTATTCGTACTTTCAACAGCCCGTGAATTAGTGCACGAGCCTTCTTCGATTTCTTCTTCGTAAACTGTGATCCGTTGATCCACAAGGAACCGTACCGCAATTATTACGAACGATTCTAGTCGAGTTTTCTGTCAAGATTCCTCGATGAACCTCTCTGATCACGTACGCCACCACGAACACCGAACTAACTGGATACAACCGGGATTCCAAGACTCTGGGTCCTCACCGGTCGACGGCCAGACTCCTTCTGGTTGAATCTTCCAAGGCGAACGATGAGCCTCGTTTCGAGCCACCACCGTCTCCTCGTTCGGAGCCACGAGGTCCGACGTGACCCTTCCACCGGCCGTACGAATTCAAATCTGATTGGTGCGCGGCCATGGATGCGCGGTAAAAATGGCGCGCAACCCGACCAACGCTGTGTCTCTGTCCCGCCAGGTTCGTCCCGCCTTTTCTAACCTATACACCACGCTTCACCTCCTCGTTTCGTCCCTCAACGCTCGGTCTTTCTCTCTTCCGCCTGCTTTCGAACCGTCCAACGGATTATGCTAAGCGATTTTGGTCAGGGAAGGGAAGAGGCTCGCGCGCCATAAAGCCTACCTTTTATTTTTTTCTAAGTAGCACCACGTATAGAGCGATCACGATCGCGGTCTTCTTGTGTACGAGAACGTGCTCCGTGGTTCCTCCTCCTCGAGTCATTTCTTTCTTCCCTTTTTTCTTCTATACTACACAACGTACACACTTTGTATATATCACAGAACGGATCGTTTCCTGGTCACATTTTATTCTATAAAGACGTACCAAAACAGTTCGTCAGAAGAGTCTGAAAGTGGAGGGTTCTCTGTTAAACGACTAAAATATTCTTTATGAAAGAACTGAAACAAATTTCCACTGTGTATAGCGTTTACTTTCGAAACATTTATTTTGAAGCATCCTGTATCTTGCATCAAACTTTCGGAGTGACTGCGTCGAACGTTCTAGTCGCGATTTCCCTCCGGAAGATTGATGGCGAGTTAATGTAGTACCGAGGGATGGACGAACGTCGTTCCCTTTGACAGGGAAGGGTCCAGAACGAAAAAAAAATCGAATTTCTTAAGGACTGTGCGAAGGACGCGTCAGGTTACAAACGCTTAGGCGTACCAATCACTCGGAATTACTGACTTCACCGGCCGAGGGGTAGTTCGGCTCCCGTGAATACACACGTCTCCTCGCTCATATACATATATGTATTTTCGCGGGAAGCCCGGGCGCGCGTTCTGGCGACCAAGGAGGAATAACAAAAAAAAAAAAAAAAAAAAAAAATAAAAAAAAAAAAACACACCGCGATTCTTTTTCCTCATCGGGGGCTGACGGATATTTTTGCAACAATTGACCGGGTGACATCGTTTTGTCTGCTCGAAATAAAATATTATATCGTACGATCGTCGAACAACCTTATTGGAACACGTTTCGAATGTAAACTGCGAGTAAAATTGCAGGCGGCCATTACGGCCGGGCGACTTTCGAGCTTACGTGGCCTCGCGATACGGAACACGATAGGGGTTCGTATTCTCTATGGCGCATTGTGAATGTCAGCCAGGGAAATGCGTCCAAGGTCAGGGTCTAATTTTAGTTCGTGGCCTTGTTTTGTGATCCACCGAGCGTTCGCGAATCGCTTGGACATCGAGCTCAATTAATCCACTGATGGGAGTCGAATGGAAATGTATCGAGTCTAATAAATCTAATCCTTGTGCACCAGAGACGAACTAATTTGTTATCTATATAAAGTGTTTCGAATAACGAATAAAAGATAGGGAAAAAAGTGCTTCGCTATTTTTCGGTGATTAAACGTGGAAGTTTCAAATTTTTAGAAGAAAATAAGGTTATTGTGCAAATTAGAGGCTTTTCTACAATTGGAACTTGACCCAAATTCAGATTATAATTTTTAATTTGTTCCTATTGCAATTTTCATTCTACAATTTTAAACTTAAATTCACCCTCCAACTGCAAACATACAATTTATCGAAATATTTGTTCTTTATTTCGGTTGATCATAATGTAGATTTTGTTTCGAGAACATGCCACGTGGAAAACTATACGTATAAATTAATATAAAAAACGCCAATAAATAGTTCAATAACGCCTTAATAAATACGCAAAGTTTCAAAAGACTGGGTTGATTCAGTTAACTTTTTTTACGCTGCTTTTCAAAATGTTACATTCATCAGACCCCTTGAACGTTAAAATTACCCTGACACAATAACGAAATACACGTTTTCCCTAACAAAAACAGCGTGGAAAATCGTTTCTTACACGTCGGCGAAGTACACTTAAGTCCACATATGTACAACCGTGTATCCATAATCACGTGCGCCATAATGTTGCAATTTCGAGCGCAGCCGCTACTCGCAGAAAGAGAAGCACAATTTCGTAGATCGATCAGGGAGCAAGGACTCGGACCTGGTTGGCTGTATCACGGTTCCGGAGCGATGGGGGTAAATTCGACCGTTACAGAAAGCGAGCTGAAAAACACCGTACGCCGTGGATCATGCGGGCACTTTGACGTCTGTGCGTCGTATATGTGCAGGCAAGGGGCCACGTTTATACGCGTGTGTGTGACCGAACCATGGACAGGTGAACATCGTGACCACGATGGTCAGCCGGCGTAACGATTATTGCCGAGGTTTCTGATTGTTTTAAGAGATTTTTGCTGCGCATTCCGACGTTGAAGTGCCTCAACATTATCGTTACTCCTTGGTAATAATGAAATCATCAAAAGAAAAAAAAAATTACATAACAGATTTGTGAATATTAGGGGTTGGGTTCTCGAAACGTCGATACCCAAGACAGTTATGAGTATTCAAAAATTTCCACTTTTCTCGGGATTCGAAATTTTCGAAACTTAGGTAAGAAGAAATATAGGATGGATTAATGAAGAATTGTTCGCAACGTGCCTCGAGATTGTTCGATTCAATATTCGGTGCGAGATGCTTCGTGAATGCTCGGTGATCGGTTTTTTTTTTATTCCAAACTTCAGTTTTCAATTACGTATTATGGTATTGTTCAGTGGTAGTAACAAGTACGAACTGATAAAGTATCGAGTGTTGGTGCTAAAAACAGGATAAGTGAATATATTGTTAGGTTTTTGTTTGTGTTTTGCTCGACTATGATCAATGAAGATTTCTGAAAAAATTTTGTTATGACTTCAGTTCTTGAAAGAAAATATTCCTCTTACAAAACAAAATCAGCACTTCAATTCGGATTCGAGTTTCGAGAATTTAAAAATTACGATCCAACCCACCCTTACTAAATACTCTCATAAATTATTGAATGTCGTAGTAAAACATACATTGACTTTACTAGTATTTAAACCGTTTTTTCAAACTTACGAGACTCATATATAGATTGTTATTTTAAATATGATATTAAACAAACCTATTTTTAAAATTTTTGTTGTTGACGAAATACTTGTATTTTCAAAATCGAAAACATCGAGATCTATTTTAATTAGTTAAACTACTAATCCTTGCTGACAAAATTAAAATATGAACCAGCGACAGATTCTGACGAACTTTTAAAATCGCTATTGCGCCGGTGTAACACTGAGACTTAAAGGGTAGACAAACTTACGTAACATTGAATTTCGACAATGTTTCACCAATTTTTGCCAGTAATGTAAATCTGGCAGCCGTTCGTGAACGAAATTTCTGAATCACTGTATTTCGAGTCGATTCAAGGAACAAATATTCTTCGCTGCCGTATTCCTCAAGAATAGAGGAATACGATGAATGAAGTTGGACGGACATTCGAGGGAGTCGTTTTTTCACAGATTCCAATTCACCCTCGTCCCAAAGAGCAAACCGTCGTCACAAGCACTCGAGGGAATATATCGGGACTTCCTCCTCATTCGCCTCGTTTAAACGCTAGAACACCAATATATATATGAATATATATATATATATATATATATATATATATATATATATATCCGTGGGGGATTTTCAGTTTGGTGGGCTCCATGCTCCCCAACGAGTTCGTTGCTTCCGGTCCCCAGCACCCAGACCGGAACAGAGAGGCGCGGGGGGAACGCGACGGTAACGTCAGTTGCATCGTGTAACGAAAAAAAAATTCGTGGAGAAACCGATCCGCAGGGGTTCACCGTGTCAGGATGTGAGTTAACTAGCCCGCGAACTTTCGACTAGAACCGAAGCCACCGATTACCACCGATCATTTTCCACGCTGCTGCGCCCCGTAACCGATAATACGATTATCCACAGACCATCTATACCCAACGTACGAATTTTACGAACCGTTTCAGTCATTCTTCCGTCTATTTCCACCGTTCCAATATACAAAATCACGGTGATACTTTGAATACCCGTATTCGGAAGAGAAACGTTCAACGGCGAACGCACACCACGACGAATATGAAAGAGACGGCTCGAAAAGGATCGTAGGAGAGGGAAATCGGCGAGAATGGAATCTGAAAATTTTCGAGACAACACTCAACCCTTTTGGCCGGCGTGGTCCGAGCAGCTGGCAGCATATGCTCCCGAGCGAAATAAAGAAACGGCCGGCAGATCGGTTCACCACGGAGAATACCCTGAGCTCGGGCGTTGTTCATTTCATTTTTCTTTTTTCTTTCCCCCTGAAAACGCTCCCTGGTCAAGTAGACGTGGCTTAACGTCCTCGATGGTAACGTACACCGATCTTTCGAGACTTCAAAGGCGGCGGCCGTCGTTTAATGTTCAACCACCGATAAGAATCCGATTATTACCGACCAGTCGTTCGATTGTTACTCGCCTGATGATGGTTTTGATCCTCCTGTTTCCAACGAAATGTATACCTTGTGAATCTGGACAGTGTTTACGCGAATGGACCGATCTGTGATACCGATCT